AAGAAATAAAGAGATTTTTATTATAAATAAAGTTTAAGATTTAATTGGAGACATAAGTATCGTATATAATATCATTATATATGACGTCATTATTTAAAACCCTAGCACCCCCTATGATATCCAACCCCGCATATATCAACAAAATTGGCCGGTCCCGTGGGGTGGATATTAGAGAGGGTTCACTGTAGTACCAGTATGTGTATATAACACGTGAACACGCTTCTACTCATACATACATACATACATACATACATACATATATATACCCCCAGACACTTCTCTCCATTGCGCACAATAAACGCTTACAACACGGTTTATTGACCACATAATGGAAGAGCGAACATTCCGGCCCTCCACACTAACTTGCACCGAATATATAATGTGATAACGAAAGTTGTTATTGTACGTTTATTAGTTTATTTACATATCAACAAAAGGTATCTTTTTGTCTTCATAAATAGCCAAACTAACTATTATAATATCTTAGAAGTTACATACGAGTTACTCTCTCGATTTCAAAAATATCCCGATACATGATCTCGTTCTTCCCGCTACTTGAAAACTCGCTCTATACTCGGATTGCTTTTGACTATATAACAAAATAGCGATGCTTTATTACTTCGTCAACATTCTAATCGCCGCAACACCTTTTAAAACTTTTTTACTGAAAAGATGCGGCAACAATCCGAGACTTGATGCCAGAAGCCTCCAGATCATAAAACTGAAGAAAGTGCGGTAGCGGAGGAAAGTGGCGAAACCGTGAAGGAAGAGAAGCAGTTGCGACAATTTTTGGGGGCAGTGAAAGTAGTAACATAGATTTAATTTTAAATCGAATTATGTGACTCTTACTTGCTCATTTGTTAGCATTCCATTAAACTAGCTTATATTATAATTAGTAGAACATATATTAGTTTTAATAGAGTAGAGGACTTAGAGAAGAGCAAACTGCTAGCACAATTTGAAATTTTTCAAGAACGGCTCAACCGCTATTAAAGAGGGGAACAGCGATTTAATCAAGTAATTTCTGCAGTACTGAGATAGAGTAGTTCAGGATGATGGTCATTTCGCAGCTCTACCGAAATATAAGTCCGAAACATTTAATTCATTTTTGTATTATTATTGGACATTATAGTAGATTTCATCAAATAAAATTTTTTGAATGGATTTGGGCATGTGTTTATCTACGGTTATTTACTCACAATCGCTCGTCTTGTTCGTTTTGCTCGTTTTTGCTGTTTTCGCTCTGTAATCGCTTGTTTCCACATTCGTTTCTCGAGTGCTGCTCAGAAAAGCAATTACATTATGCTTCTTGTCCCAGAATACGCGTACACAAAGGCTGTCTGGCTTGCAAATGTTTATTTTTTATCCATTTGATGTGTAAAATGAGTTTTTTAACTTTTGTTCTAAATAAAATTCTAACTCGATAAATGAAATTTCCTATTAAAAATAATGGTTAAATAAACTGACTTGTAGGTTTACAGGAGTTTTTATTTACTTGTTACTCAAAGATTTTATTATTATCGATAATTTATTCTTTCACAATTAATTAGAACGCCTTATAGCATATCAACCTTACTTCTTGTTGCACATTTCGCTATCAAAAATCAGTTACACACATGCGCGCAACATAGTCACACCCTTTCTATTGTCCATCATGTGATGGGAGATATAAGTAATCATTTTCTGATAAAAACATGCAACCCAAAAACTCGAACGAGAAATATAAGCAAATTGACAACCATTCTCTTGTTACGGTCGGATGGGATGGTCTGGGGTTTGGGAGAGCTATTAATCTTTCGCGTAGGGGTGTTCTTCCGACTGGGGTTATTGCCAGATTAGCTTCGTACTACCGCCCTTTTGGTCAATTAAGACTGAATTCTAATTACAAGTAACCTATCTATTATAATTAAATTTGCACGCTTCCTAACTCCTTATCCAGCTTCAATTACTCGTGATTCCAAATAAGAGTACCCACGATAGAATAACAACAACAATTATTCTACCGCAGAATCGAAGGGAAAATAAATTAAACAGGGCTTTCTTTAATTTGCTAGTCGGGTTCCGTCATTAAACAATTTTGTTTCAATAAATAATTATTGGCTCTCGTCCTCAATTAAACGGACAACTTATACAGCTTGAGTGACCGTTTATTAGTCAAATAATTAATATTTCAATGATGAAAGAAAGTAAAATTTCGATTTCAAAGGGAATCGTTTATTTGATGATTATTCCGTGGAGTGGTAATTATTGTTCTAATAACCTGGACAATATTTACAACATATACAACATGAGAATTCGACGATGGGATAAGGATCGCTTATATACTTTTAGCAACACTCAAAAATCGAAACGGAGCTAAAAATAATTAAATAATCGTAGCTAATGGCGTTTGTGCTGACACTCACAAATCGACACGGTGCATTCTGAAAATGCGCGAATGCCGTACTACCATTCACTGCTTGACTGCGGAGGAAGATTTTACCATGTGACTTGCTTACCTGAGTCATCAGATCGGCTTGCTAAGATATAAACAAATTAAGTGTAGTTTAGATCCGGGCCCGCATATGAACGTGCTTATAAAATTCTATTGAAATAGCAAGAATAAAGCGTCTTACTCAACATGATATCCTATTGAGTGATGGGACAAAAATCTCTATCTGTTCTGATTTAGCATACTATCCCGATAATCAAAAAGTTGACCCATATTCTAAATTCAAAAAAATTTGGTCGCACCAGACTCTGGGAAAAGATGAGTTACCCTACTTGTATACCAGACTGGCATTAATGAGTTGATAGCTGAACAATCCACCTTACCCTACTTGTATACCAGACTGTTGATAGCTGAACATTACCCTACTTGTATAATCCACCTTATCCTACTTGTATGGAAATTTTGGAATTTTGTTATGATCAAAAACATGGCGCTGAACGTGTCTTGACACACACATTATACGACGTGGGGCTCTGATATGTTTCATATGTTTTTCGTATGTTTTAGAGACAAATATTGGATGTTTGAAATTTTTCTGGAAACAGTTGATCGAGCTGAAGTTTTACAGGTGGTCAAGGCGGTCAGATACTTATGCTCGCTACTGTAGTAGTGCATTCGTTAGTTGTTAATATTATGATACAATACTACGACCGGTAGTAAAATTGTATCGTCACATATCACTTGAATATACTCGCATAGAGAATTATCGCCCTTTTTTAGGTATGTACTTCTTGTTCGTAAGTTTCTATCGCAGAACTATCTCAGAAAGAGTCGCTTCCTTTAAAGGATTTAGATGAGCTTAAGCATTTCAGATTAAATTCCTCTGGGCGAAACCAGCACTACAACAAGAAGGTGTCGTGTTTATTATCAGCTGAGAGATTAGGTCTATAACCCATGTGGTGACTCACGCCGCAGTCTTAAGGGCACAAGCTAACAAACTACTTTTTAGGGTAAAAAATCAAAGGGAGCCACTATTACTATCACATTCTAGTCATTCTGGTCACAAAGTTAAATCCGTGTGACGTGAAGCTGTTAATAAAGAATGCAATACCTTTGTTAGTATATGTGACGTAATGCCGGTGAGAAAAAATCCAACTCTAAATCCCAGCCATTTTACTTGTTGGGAGAGTGGGAGGTAGCGTAATCAACATTAATTCAGCCGTATACTGAAGTCGTTTGCTTGAACACTGTGTTTCAGTTAAACGCTTGGGATACAATCGTAGCCTTAGTGCGGATCGTATTTCGCAGTTTGCACATTTGTAAATATGAATCTAAGCGGTAAAGGAAACAACGAGTTGCTATTCATCAACTTCAACCAGGACTATAGGTAACTAGTTGAGCTTCAGTCTGCGTAGCTTGTAGCTTGGGTTTACTCGGCAGTGTGTAGCCTTAGAACCAAAGAAACGTTGAAGAGACACATTAAATGTAGACTGTTGTATTTTCTTTTCTAATACACTGTCTCTATGAACGTATTATTGTCAATATATGTTATCACGCTGTTTGATTTACCGATTTTTATTATACATTAATCGATCTACTTTTCTTACCCTTTGAAATAGCTGTATCTCCGTCGGCACTCAACACGGATACAAGGTATACAACTGTGATCCGTTTGGAAAATGCTACTCCAAATGTGAGTCGAGTCATTTATCTTGAAAATTTGTGTCGATAATATGTCAGATTACATATCTATTTTATGTTGTATCAATTGAACAATTGACTTACTACGTTTCGAATCAATCTATAAATGTAAAAAAGCTGATGGCGGAATCGGCATTGTTGAAATGCTGTTTTGCACATCTCTCGTTGCTCTTGTCGGCGCTGGAGAACAGCCTGCTTTCTCACCACGGCGTTTACAAATAACAAACACAAAGGTAGAACGAGGGTTACAAGAGTCATGTCATAATGCTTATTCACTATAGTCGTTCCTCATGCTTGTGCTTTTACTTTTTCTATACTGCTGGATCTGTACTTTCTCGTTAACAGCGCCAGACGACAATATGCGAGCTTTCGTTCTCTTCATCAATTCTCGCTGTGAAACTGAATCGTCGCAGATTGATTGTTGTGTTGGAGACAACCATTTATATTTATGACATCAGCAATATGAAATTACTGCACGATATTCACACCAGTCCAAACCCAAATGGTAAGCACAAATTCATGATTATTGTTGCAAAAGACGAAATTTCCACTGGTCGGCAATATTGACTTTTTCTCGATTGCCATCTAATTCTGCTAAAAACTGTGTATTATATTAAGCCATATGCGCCCTTTCTCCGTCAAACGAGAACTGCTACATAGCCTATCCATCACCAACACCCTCACCTTCGTCACCATTCTCCAGCAATGCACAGAACGCCTCACCCTCAGGCGACGTCTATCTGTTCGATGCCGCATCTCTTCAAGTAGTTAATATCGTCCAAGCACACAAATCACCGGTCGCCTACGTTGCAATAAACTCAGACGGTTCCCTGCTAGCCACAGCTTCTGATAAAGGCACAGTGATCAGAGTATTTTCCATCCCTAATGCGCAGAAACTATACCAATTTCGAAGAGGATCGTATCCTACGAGGATTCACTCGATTTCTTTTAATGTCATGTCGACATTATTGTGTGTTAGTAGTGATACGGATACAGTACATATATTCAAGTTGGGAGGTGTTCCGGGCTCAGCAGGCTCAAGCGCCGGAAATGGGACGAGTAACAACGGAACTGGGTCAGCTAATATTGCAAGACATTCCGCCGGACAAACACCGATAACTGGGTATGAGGCTTTTATTGATGACAAGAAGAAGTCGGGGATTGTTAAGTTAGTATTCTGTTATTTAGTTAGTTGTACGAGTTTTTGTGATGTGTTTTATGTCTATGTTGAGTCAGTGTTTACTTATTTTTACTATGCTGAGAAGGCGAAAATTGAGGCGAGTAAATATTATTTTTCGATGACTTGGGCTGCTAATGATAGTTATGTCGCTCCCGGATGATAAAAAATATTCCATTTCATCCCATCCCATTCCTTCCTCGGCAGCCCATTTTACTACGAAACAACTACCCGATGGAAAACGGCATTGAAGTGAAATTAGGAATCTGTGCGATTGTACAGTTATCTTCATAAAAGAGTCATCGACAACCAATTTATTCTGTAGCTCAAATTTAACCCTCTCTCCATCTATTATTTCTCTTCCCCATTGGTATATGTTTGTCATCCCGCCTATCACTAAACAGGAGTACGATTCGTCGGTCCTCTCTTCATCTCGGCCGTACAGTTGCTGGCAGTGTAGGAAATTACCTTCCTGACGCTCTTACAGAAATGTGGGAACCGACACGCGATTTTGCATATCTGAAATTACCTACTTCCGGGGTACAGAGTGTGGTTGCACTGAGCAAGTAATATATATTTTGACTTACAATTTACATCTTATAGTTCGTTCACTAGTTTCCGGATGTTCTAGTGTTTTCTGACTATCGTCCTTTTGTAGTAATATTCCCCAAGTGATGGTTGTCACTTCCGAAGGGTATTTATACCAGTATAATATAGATCTCGAAAATGGTGGTGAATGTCTTCTCTTGAAGCAATACAGGTTTGTTGATGAGCCAAATGTAATGCTATTTGCGACTTTTGTACGTTCTTTCTTGCTGATAATATTAATGTTTGGAATAGTTTTATGGAACCGAATGAAGAGTTTGGCAATATTCCTCTACCATCCGAGTAACAATATATGTATATATGCATATATATGACTTATGAGAATGTAATGTGCTGGTTGTTTATTAGGAATTTAGATTGCCCTGGTAATATAGTCTCTCATAAGATTAGCCTTTGTAAGGAGGAGTAGTGAATATCGGGATGGACGGTTATGGTTTAATACTAAGAAATGATATCTCTATTATATTATACATCCATTCTCTCAGTTATTGTTGTAATTCTCTCAGTTGCATTAGCTATGTAAGATATACTAGTGAAAGATGTAGTTCAGACAGTATTAAGTTCTAATGGATTGATTGACAAGTTATGAATAAATTGTCTCTCCGTGTGTTTTCATCGTGTTTAATAACCGAAAACATGACGCTATTGATTATTTCGCAAAGCTTTTCGAGTTTCTGGAAGTGTAAGAACATCAACCGTACACGTTTCAACAAGACCGAACATTGTGCACGAAATAAAGCTCGTACCATAAAGTTGCTGCGTTTATAAGTACTCATTCCAAATTACCGGAATTTGTATTGAATTTACTGTAATTTGATTTCTGATGAATAGAAAAAGTCGAATAATAATGCTAGAGTCCTAATCCTAAACCTAAACTCAGCAAAGCGTATGGCACAAGAATGCAAGGAACGTATTGTTCATTTATATCAGACCGAAATAAGCGATCACCTATTAAAGGTCTGAAGTTATCATTCATGACGTAATAATTTATGGATGAAAACAAAAACTGACTTTACGAGTAATTTTTATTTCCGGATATTTGAATAGTAATAATAATCAATTTACTATCCTGCTAGAAGGTATGTTATTGCATGTATTAAACGACTACTTCTGAATGAAGCTCCTCATCTTCTAATAGATCATCCAGACAATATTCACGTTTCTCCAACCGCAAAACGATTCAATTGATACACACTATTTTTACAATTTTAGCCAACAAAAAATATAGTTAAGGGTGTTCCTACTCTATTTTTCGACTTTATTATTTATTTGGAGCATGCTGCAGCAAACCAGACATTTGTTATGCGAGCTAAAATTGCTGGTGTGGCCAAAAAATTAGCTAATGTAACTGATGCCTTTTAAGCTTTATTTAGCAAAAAGACAATATTATTGCTGAAAGGAGTAAAATAATTGCTAAATTACATAATAAACCATCATCTGATTGATGTTAAGAAATGTACACCATCTGATGATTTGCTTAATGAATTAGGGAAAGGTACACATTGACTATGATTTTATTCCCTAAATAAAAGATAAACAATGCTAGGCACTTTTGAAAACGAGATCCTGAGGCTTATTTATATTATCAAAAATGAAATAAACTTCAAGGGTTGAATTAGAAAACTGACCTGTAAGAGAAAACTTACTTAATGATTGGCTGCAGATTGTTGTAATAATTAAGATCAAGAAGCTAAATGAGAGCAGTTAACAATTTTATTTAGGATAAAAATTATTCAATATTGGCCTGGGACAAGTAATGTCTTTAAATTCATCTCTGACAAACAATATAAATATTGCATATTAATAATCCTGCTAAAGAATCTGAAATATATCATTTTGTAAAAAAAAAAAAAAAAGGAGAGATTATCATGTGTTTCCTGAATAGTAATTACTGAACAATACAGTATTAAGTATATTTGTATATGTAATCCATTGATCAGCTTGTGTATTGCAAATTATAATGTCTTTCTAAGTTTTTAAAGTGATGATTGAGTTATTTATTCTTACTCAACTTCTTTCTTGCTTTTCTTCCTTTTGAATCATAAGATTATAATTAGCCTTAACCTCCATAATCTTCCTCTTAATATTAAGACTCTCCTCCATTATCATTACCATGTTGTTTTCGAATTCTTCATGCAATCAATGGTCTTCTTCATCTACAGGTACCCACTCAAAAATATCTTCAATGACATAACACAACCTGCCTGGATGGATGAGATTCCTCTTCCAAGTTGGATCCCATGTATACCACACTATTATTCCATTGCATTCCACAGAACAAGCATTTAGTTTCATCTAAAACCAGACTGGCACTTGTTTCAATATTATTTCCAAGAATTTGATGCTTTAAACTGTTTAACATTTTCATAATTACAAAATCGAGGCCATTTTGTTGTAAATATTTTACTGCATTCGTTAATCCTTCCAAAGCATCATTTACTTTTACCAAGTATTCTGGCTCTTCATTATCCTCTGGCTCTTGAGCTTCTTCACCACTTATGAACTTGCAATTTCCTCATCTGTCAATTGTTCTCACTCACAACTTGATTATCAACCAGAATATACTCTTCCAGTCAGATATTAATATGTGGCATTTGGTCAATGAGGACTATGAGTTCTTGCTCAGCTTTAGCATCACCAGAGAGTGGATCAATTGCTATTAGATCACTATCCCAAGTTACAGAAGGACCTTCATAGTTTGTGTTACAGAATCCCAGGCAGCTGCGGAAAATTCAATCGCATCTCGAATAAGAGTAGGGGATTCGGGTGTAAATAAGTTCATAGGCCTCAAGTCGACAAGTTGACATAAGATTCGTCGATAATGCATCAGAATAAATATGCACCAGGAATAGACGATGTTGATTGGCTGTAAAAATGATGTTGTATTAGGAGGAAGGAATAATTAGAAAGGGTTTCGAGGTTTTCTATTTCATGACATTTGGCATTATCCATTAAAAAGAAGAATATGCCGATTGGCTCTACGCATTATGCTTTAAGTCAATCGAGATAATGAGCGAAGACCGATTTTACCGATTACATACTTTGCCCCAGTCAAGGCAACACGCTTTTTGAATGATTCTTGGCTACTATCTCTAGGCTGTGAGGGATTCGTTGTTCCTCCATAACAAGAAGAAACCCTTTTTTTTCACTCTAATATTATATGTTCGAGCCACAGCTGTGCCACTAAAGCAAAACATCATCAGTCACTTAGTTGATCTTTCAGCTACATTAACATCAGTTGCAGTCTGCCAAAAACGCCTCTATCTACGTGTATTACTGCTGTACTACTTTTCGATGTGACGTCACGCTCAGTTTTTCTATCTATCGCTATGACCAACAAACAGGGTTTGGATTTTCCCTCATCAACAGTGCAGTATTACGATTTCAGTTTATACTTCTCCCATTAGTGATTTCGGAGAATGGGGTAGACATTGATTTGTACAACCGCTGCTATAATACGTAAAGAGAGCAAGCAAGTTGCTTCCTGTGCTATTTAATGCATGTGTTGTGTGCATTACATGCAGGGCGTTTACGCTTACAGTTTACAGGGAATTGTTTACCTTATTTATACATGTAATACCTAACTGATTTTCTAATAATGTACTTTATTTCAACTCGGTGTTAGGTGCCTACGTCTTTTACTATGCTAACGACTAACGAGATCACCTTTCGTTATGTTGCTGTTTCGCGTAAGAAAGAGTGGGGAGGGAATAGGGTAAAGGAGGAGGAGTCAACAAGATTTGATGATTACACACATAGAATCACGGATGACATAGTTTTTCTCGTTCGCGTATTAGCAAGTGAACCTACAGATACATAAAACTGTACAATTTTTTTTCTTTTTTCTTTTTTTTTGGTTTTTCATCTACCAATGTCAAGAAACTTTGTTGAATCGTTTTTAAGTGCAGTCTATGCGGTAATACAAAGAAAATATGAACTTCTATACGTTCAAATATGGTTTGAGGGTAGCAGAAAAAAAGCACCAGGTATAAGACGATGAAAGTGAAATGGTAATAGAAAAAAGGGAAGAGGAAGAATAAATATTAGGAGATAAGGGAATATAAAAAAATATAAAATTATTAAAAAGTCTATGGAATTGTTTGTTCAGAAAAATTTTGCATTCGACGGTTTAAAAATGTTCTTGCAAGTTTGATGTGAGGGGATAATATATAATACAAAGCCAATGAATTTGGTTAGGGGGAAGGGGGGGGGGGGGGAAATGTATATGATTATATGAATAAATCTATTTTCGGTATTATGAACGGTTCTTCGGCAGGAGGTATTGCCTCCCAATCCATATGCCATTCGGTAGGCATAACACCACCAACAGGTTCAAGCACATACTTTGCCAACTCTCTAGCACATCTTGTTCTTTCCGACCATGCAATTTTCGAACTCAGTGCTCTCTTTGCTAGATTTCCGCCAACGGTATCCCATGTTTCCCATCCTTCGATACAGCGCTTCAACTTTTCTGGCCATCGATGCCATAATTTCTCTTGAATGCGCGCCAGGCGCTCTACTAGTTTGACCAGGAGGAAATGGGCAGTTGCCTCGTTGTGAACAAAGCTTATGTCTTCGAGATCACGTATGAGATCTGCTATCTCGTAGCGCGGTCGCCAACAGTCTTTTGCTTCGAGTGCGGGGGGGGGGGCCAGCTTCCCAACGTATTCTTGCAAAGTTTTGTAACGGAGGTAGGATGTTATTTGGGTCGTAAATGATCCTGCCGAATGCATAGTTTCGTAAGATAATTCCTGTTTCGTCAGTCGAGAGGAGGTGACATATATAGGAAGGTGGATGGATGAACATTTCGACCTGGGAATGTGAGAGTTTTGGGGAGGTGATACGATAGTGAAACATGTGATATTGTGTTAGCATATGATATTACATGGGCACAACGCATTTTTCATATGTGAAAAAAATGGGGATGATTTCATACATACCTCCAAGCCATCGATGATAACATTTCGTCGACATTTACGCTGTGAATTTATTAGGACATCAACATCCACGTCACTGAGAAGTAGAAGAAGGGGAAGGGATTAAGCATGTTGTTGACTGCATATATGCACACGCCTTGGGGAATCTATATACGGCTATTTCGCTTCCATGTCGACATAATCAATCGACAATAGTTATACATCTTGGATTTCCTTGCACACGGTCTCTCTTAATTTACCTGTGAGGTCTAGCATTGCCATAGACGCGTGAGCCGTAGGCAAACAAACCCAATAATTCATCACCAAATTCGTGAGATAGGCTAACGAGGAGCTTAGCGTATATACAGTCAGAAGTCTTGGTAGATGTTTTTGCAATGGGAGCGTAAGGATTTTTTGATTGTATATCAGACACGGTAAATGGTATGTTGAGAAAGCGCATGAAGGGCAGTAAATATTTAGCGGTGGGAGTCTTGAATGGATTGCCGAATATTGGAGCCATATGTATTTGAAAAGAGGCAGTGCAGACAAATAGGACGAAGAAGAATGGAGAAACCCAAAGGAAAAAGCAAAAGTAGACAAAGGAAGATAAGAGAGTTGATAAACGGGACATAAGTTGGATGAGGGGAATACTAAAGAAGAGAAGAGACGAGCGGGGGAGGTCTCCTTTTTACGATTGTCAATGTGGACAATCAGATCCAAATAGGATACACAGTCTGTTGAAACTCAACACATAAAAATAAATAAATTGATGCTGTAGTTTTTAGTTTGATTTTTTAATTATTCCGATTGCAGCAAATTGTGGCTGAGTATACGCCACCGTAAATGGGATAAAAGGATAAAAAATAAAAGGTTTATTATTATAGAGTGGTTGGGGGATTGAGTTGGGGGGAGTAGTATAAAACAGAAAAGTAAACAGATAGAAAGAGACCCCAAAACTATTGGCATTTAAGCGAAGAAATATATTATAACATGCATTAAAATAAAACGTATATTATATCTATTCATTCATGTATAAATTAAAATATACACAATGGGATGCAAGTAGTATAATAATACTAAACTTTTGAATAAATTGTAGTGTGATTTCCATTGTCTTGTATTTATAACAATGCAGGGTTAATGTAGTCGCTGTAGTTTTGAATACATTATCTAATCAACATACCTCGGCATTTCATCATTCTATCATACATACTTAAAACACACACAAACACCAAACAGACAGACAAACAATATTTCTTTTTTTAAGCTCAGCGTTTCTCAATCGTCGACGTACGTAAGCTCAGGAGAAACAGAAAGAAAGAACTGGGAATAGTTTCAGAAGCAGGACTTACATGCAAGAAGCATTTGATTAGTCGCACAATAAATGCTATACATACAAGTTCCTGTCATGAATAAGTGATAATGACTCCAGCACACTGATAACGATCAGATGACTCTACTTGGCTATCGCATATCACACAGCATGAAGACGACATAAAGACGACATGGCAGCATCGCATCGATTTATCCCCCCTTTCTCACCCTTCATTCCCAGTGTTTTGGGTGTTGTGTCATTTATTTAGGTACGAGGCTGATACGATAATACATTTATGGTCATATTTTTTAGTAATGCTGAATTACTCAGTGTTTACAAACTATAATGCAGTTCATCTTCAGAGGTTAAATTTGAAGCTTAAAATGGAGAGAAAATAGGAGTATGTTTACGGTCGAAAGGAGGGAGGGAAGGAGAGAGACCGAGGGATGGAAGAATACAAGAAGGAAAAGAAGAAGAAGAAGAACACTAGAATGCGAAGAAAAAGAATAACAAAGACAACGAAACATGGTTGATTATAGTTGTAGCTAGTCTTTGATAGTCTTTACAATGGTGACAAGGTTGAAACATAGTCGATTCTTTGTTGTTTGTGAAAGAAAAAAAGTCTGTACGACTTGCATCTGTATAAAAACTCAGTATGTAACAAACAATATGTAACCTATATAATGGTTAATATATGCGATTAGAGTTTTTTACAGTATTTTAAAGTTGAGCAACCTTTTTATTAAGGTTAGTTTATCATTGTTGCTATTATTACCATTATTATTATATCATTTATTATTATTATTATCATTATCAATCATCATCTTATTACTGTATTGCTATGTATAATCAATTGTTACAAAATATTTAGTGCTATCGTTTCGTTGTTGTTTGTGTAATCGATTTAACCGTATTTAGAATAACCGCTTTCAACAATCATATGGCTTTCCTTTTCATCCCGTAAGATGAATGACTGACAATCAGACCGCATGACAATCCAAGGAAACACTAAACTGATTGACCCCGAAAATCCCTAGCAACTATGGCTTCAGTTTCCATATGTCTATGGAAATTCTCCGCGCTCCCTGTTTACTAGACTATTCTCGCTATCTTGCAATCGTCCAGTTTCGACCAAACGATAACGTCTCCGGATTGACGCCATCCCCGGTATGCTTGTTGATGCAGTGTATCATACACATCTGTGTATGCTATTTACCGTATATACACCTCAAACAAGTCCTCTCTCCTTATCATCAAATCTTCCTTTATCCTCGATCATCAATGAACAAACAACAAAACCAGCTAAGCTTTGCAGCCCTGCTCGTTCTAACACAGGGCTCTGGCTATATTAGTGATATTGAATGCAGCAGTAATATGATTGTTACTACAACTGCATAGAATGGTAGTTTGCGGGGGAATTTTCTGATGCAAAATCACGCGATTCTTATTGAAAATGAAGATAAAGAAAAGTTCATTAATGATGCAATGCAAATGTTTGTGCACAGAGAGCGACTCGAACGAAAGATTTGGGGTTAACCCTCCAACCTATGATATATTTAATATCTCATGATTGGAAACATTTTGTTTCCCCGCCGTTCCCCACCAAAATTTTTCATTCTCCTAATCGGTTATTCATTTCTTCATCACGAGACCATTGTCCGTTTTCGATCGTCACTATTTTCCCTTGTACCCCTCACTCTTTTTTTTTTTTTTACCGAAAAAAAAACCTCGTATCCAGACCTACTTGTCTTTTAACTGTCTTTTCCCATCAAAAGCACGTTGTAAATCACCTTTCAAGCACGTGTGAATTTTTAAATTTGTCATAAAACTTACCAATGAGCTGAATGAGTTTCCTTTATCAACAATCTGTCCCGATCATCCATATGACGTTATTGACAAAAATGTATTTCGTTCAGAATGGATTATGTAAGTCAATGCTTGGGGGAGCAGTACTAGACTTTTTTTGATGTGTTGATTGATATCGATAGTGATCTTGGTCTTATGATACTTCTATTTATCTTTGATATTTTCGGCATTGATAATGACATTGATATTAATTGACGTGACGTTGACATTGACATTGATTATATCACAAAAACTGAATGGATCTTCGCTTTCTCGTGAATGTGCGTGTGAACAATTAAGATTGGGAATAGGGGAGAGGATCAAAAGACACGAATGCGTCAAAGTCTATGCGATAAAGAATGAAACTATATGCACGATGCATATTACCAGAGGTATCCAACAACAAAATGGAAGAGTTCGATTGCATATGCCAATCGGCTAGACAAAACCTTATTAAAAACTTATACTATTCGTATAGTATATGCATCTATTGTATATGCAAGCAACTGAACGCGTGTTCGTATGGGTTTGACAACACAACGTGACAAATTCCAGTATAAATTAATACTAAAACTAATACAAATATCAATGAGCTTAATTTATACTCACACCCATACGGCATATATGATCTGACAATGAAATGGTCTTTTTTCAACTTTTGTAGCAATGTGGGGAAGGCACGCGTCACATGGCTGAAATATATTTACCCAATTTATTATATTACGGGCTATCATTACAATTATATAAGCGGATGCTCCTTCACAGTTGGATCCTTTGATACGCCTGGCAAATTAGTTTCCCGCTATACTGCTCTGATTTGTGAGAGATCCAAGTAATTGTGGTGCTTAAAATGCTAAATCATATGACACAGTATAATCGGTATAGACAAGTGACATAACGTTTCAAGTCAAAAGCAAACTTAATTCGGTGAACGATACTAATTTTGGTAGTGCCCCCCGGGCATCGAAATAATCAAATTCGTTTGGTACTAAAATACTAGCCCGTTTATATTATCGAAATTAAGTCATGGGTCTATTCCTTTTTGACAAGTGGAGGGAATTAAAGAATTCAAAAATGGCACTTTTAATAAAAAAGACCCAGAAATATACATATATTGTGGCGTAACATTTAACGAGAAGTCTAAAGAAATTGATATTATTCGTCGAGCCAAATCGCCGCAGTATTATTAAAAAGTATTCGATAGTCCTTTTCAAGCAATAAATCTATTGTAAAACTAAATTAAAGCATTATGTGTGGGTCTCTGAAGGAGCAATTTGAAGACAGGTGTTCAAATCAACCAAGTGGCTTGCTTCCTTTTTAACTTTGTTCTTGCATATATCAACAAAATTGCGCGGGCAACTTAGTATGCTTGGTCAGGGTTCTACCAGGAAACTGATACTGATAAGCGTGCGCAGTTTACGCGTGTCTGCATAGTTTATGCATATTCACGTACGGTTTCATGCAGCCCTCGTGTAAACCGCGCGCGGTAAATTAGACCCAATCGCATATACTGATTTTTTAATTACGTTCTCGCGCTAAAAACGAAAACGCGCTAACCTCTGTGATAAAGATGGTATGGAAAAATTATACATTGAAAAATTGGCATAAGCTTTTATTATAAGAAAAGTTGAACAGAAAATTTTGCATCTCTCGACATTTAGCTGTGTTTATTGCACCCAAATAATAAACCCAAATATTGAGCCGGTAACTTAGCGATGCCAAATGAAATTGGTTGTCGCAATGCTTTACGCATAGTCGCATTGGCCTATGCATGAGATTCCCATTACGAAGACCATCCTTATCATACAAGTGTTTGCATTTACAGATTTTGTGATGCATGATTTGAGGCATAACATACAAGTGACCCCTCGCTTGCAATCAGTTCACGTGTAAACAATTTATAATAATCATTGCATTGTTTACTGAAAAGGAGATAGTATGTCGCGAATGGTATAAAACCGCGTGTTCATGGTAGTGCCGCGATGGAAACCAGATAAAATTTCTCGCTGAAAAATTATAAATTTGACAATACCACACTATCTAAAAATTGGCTTGACATTACTCATTTATTTCAGAAGTCTCGCAAGTCGACGAAATTAACATTTCTCTTAAAATCGAATTCTATTATCAACGTCCCGTTTATTTAACGGGTGCTCTAGGTCCTAGATTTTTTGGAATCGATAAAGTAGACCTTGACTTTGGCAAGTATTGGTACGGATAACGAGTTCAACCACGAAAACCGAGACATTAAAGTACTGACCCCTCCCTTACGTGATAGCCATGGGAATGTGACTCTGCCGTACTCTAAAAAGCTGGGCCAAAAAGCTGACGATGAACATAATAGACGCGCGAGAAACAGTATGTTTGAAGCAGAGAGCAATTAAATAATATTGTGCCTAGACTTTAGTACATCTCCACGAGAGTATTTATTCTTTAAATATATGTCGAAAACAAAAGCGTATCAATTATCATTATAATGTCTTAAAATGTCGTCTTTCAACGCATATAGTTTCATTCCTCTTTCATTTCTACATCAGACTCGTTACCAATTGTCCACAAGTCCATAGCGTGTAGAGTATAGTCAACAATAAATGAATCAGTCATCATTCGATCTACGCGTTGATAATGTCGTTCAGAGTATGGGATCAACCCGTCAAGAAGCTAGAAACAAGACAAGAGTGAACAGATTGCACATATCGTCAAACCCACGTCAAAGTGTTTCCAACTCACCCCTTTGATGCCATTTATCTCTTGTAACCGTTCGGATGAAAAAAATCGAAGTATAGCATGCAAGATGGTCTGTGCTGTCCGCGATCTTTTCGCATTAGTGTTCCAATCCCGTATATATGTCAATAGTTTTTCAAGGTCATTTATTTCGAGTGATGCAATAATGTCATCAATTGCCTGAGAGCCCGTTATACTTGTATCATCTATTCATATGTAATTGCCGAATTATTAGTCAAACAATTCCCACTACAATTTCCCCTTTACCGTATATTCAAAAATAACGCACCTTTGTCTTTCTCATCTATTATACCACTGAATAAATTCAACAATCTAAAAGGCTGTCCCAAATTCATGGCCAACAAAATGGCATTCTTGTAATCCTTTATCGCCAGAAAGTTGGCCAAATCCTGTTCTTTCAATATCAATTCCTCTTCTTCTCTGACTCTGGCCTCCATTTCTTCCGCGGTACAGTCTTCCCAAAAGTTAATTAAAGAGTCAGCACCAGCAGTGATAACCGTTTTCTCGTCTTTGGATACAGCAAGAGTCCATATTTTATCAGTGTGATTATCGAGGGTAGTTACACATTCGTTCGTCTTGATAGTCCAAAGTTTGACCAGGCCATCCGAACCCGCGGATACAATCTGCGTGCCAGATGTCAGGAAAGACGCTTTCAGAACTGTATTTGTATGGCCCTCGAATGTCTGAAGAGGCAGTTAGACGTCAAGGAAAACTGGTTAATTGGCTGTTCTAGCAAATGGCTACATCATTCCACATGCAAATTTTTATGATTTTTTATTCACCTTTAAACACGAGAAATCGGATAATGACCAAATCTTAATCGTCTTGTCTCCCGAACTAGTGAGCAAGCATTGATCTACCGAAGAGAACTGCACCGACCATACGCCCCGTTTATGACCATTACACGTGCCAATTAATGTTCCATCTACCACTGACCATACTTTGACTGTCTTATCCTGTGATGCAGTCGCAAAAATTTTGTCATTCGGAGCAATCACAATGGAATTGATGTCTTTGTCATGAGCCTGGTGCGTGTAGAGTGCTTTTGGTCTGAAGCTATCATCCGATGATAATCTATCTATGTAACGAGAAAGGTTCATTATTAATGGTTTGATATTTTAGCCACTCTATACTGTATAAAACATTGTGATATCCTATGTATATATAAAACTTACCAAGCTTTTGCAAATCCCAATATTTTACAGTTCTATCTCTACTTCCAGTTATGCAAAAGCTTACATCTCTTTTCGACAGTGCCACAGCGCCTATTGCCTCTGTGTGCCCACTGCATACACCAATGCATTTTATTGTCTCCTCTGCTTCAAAGTCTACAGTCCACAACCTCGCCATACGATCCTTAGATCCTGAAAGAAGTAGCGTTCCATCTGATGATCTATCCAAACATATTACAATGTCAGAATGTCCATATATAACATCACAATCGAGTGTGTTGATATGATATATGCGGATTTGTTCGGTATTAGTGGCTATGGCCAAGTGATTGTTGGCGCTGCCAATGTAAGCAATGTCTATTATTTCGTCATTGTATCCAATGATTTGTTTTGTCCGTTTAAGATTAAGATTAATGTTGTAGATGAGAATATTCTGGTCGGACGTGATGACAGCAAGGTTGTTCGATAATGTACAATATCTACAAAGAATTATAAATATAAAGACATTGGATTAATACATACTATGTGCATGCATATACAAATTGACCAGTATAATAGTATCGTATTACATAATATCAGATATAACGTGGTTCGTATTCTTTTCTGGTTCTTGTGATTTGACAAGCTTCCCCGAATTCAGGTCCCATATTCTGACTATTCCTTTATCACCACCAGTGTAAAATAGTTCACTGTGGCCGACGTCGCCTTCGCTATCGAATGTTGTCTCTGGTTTTAGTATCCCAACGGTTTCGATAGTCTAGAGTATACATGTCATTAGTTATTATATCGAATAATCGAATTACCGAAACCGTTATTATTGCTGGTTAAAATTTTACCTCATATATCGGGAAAGTGTTGATTAGCTTTTTCTTGTCTATATCCCATACATTAACGACCTTGTCTCTACTACCACTAATGAGAAGATTTCCATCATTGGACACATCCAATCCACGAATCAAACTGACGTGACTTTCAAACACAGCAAGACAACTGCATTAAAAAACAGTGTGTGAGCAAACATTACATGCTTCCTAGATAACTTCATTGGATTGATTCATACTTCCGTGATCCTAGATCCCAGACGCGAATTTTGCAATCGTCCGCGCCAGAAAACAGCAACAACCTTTTAACATCGGGGTGGAATTTCAATGCAGTTATCACTCCCCCATGTCCACGAAAATTATGAGTACAATAACCGCCATCAATATCCCATACTCTGACTGTGCTGTCAGCTGATCCAGTGGCCACAAGTGTCGAGGTAGTGTCGCTAGCCATCATAAGAATCGGAGCATCGTGAGCTTTGAAAGAACGTAATATTCGAGCAGCCTGGAGATCCCATATTCGTACTGTAAGTGATCTGCTTGAGGCTACAAGATATTTGTCATTTGGTGTTGTTGTGAACGTAGTTATCGCTTCTGTGTCCTATAATTAATATCAAATACATGAACATTTGATCCACCGCGTCGACATACTGATTGCATTGTACAGAGCGTCAATGTCATTGTCAATTTACCCCTTCCAGACTCGCAATCCTTGTGCCTGTGGTTATGTCGGTTACTATAATATTATCAACAACGGTTGTTATTATATACTTCTCATCGGATGTCATACACACTTTACCACCGGTGTACAATGCATCGATTGTTTTGGACAGCTTAAAGCTGCAAGAGACAGATTAGAACTCATTTTAACACAAAATGCTACACGCCGCGTAATGAATACTCACCTTGTCTTTAATTGTATTTTACTATCTGGTGCAGGCATAGTTTAACCGTTGTAAAAAAAAAAGGCCTGATTGATCCAAAAATTTTAGCAATCTAGTTACACAATTTTTGACCAAATTCCTTAAACAATGCCGTGCCCTCAATATTAAATTCCCTCACAGGAATTATCACGAACTTAGTTGATATTTTTCTCATACTAATATTATTTGTACATTTTCCCAATGATGCTTTCTTACAACTAGAGAAAGTTGAGTGGATGGACATTATGGATGCAAGATTGCTCTTTTCCGTAAGAAATTAACCAAAGCCAAGAAGATTGGTCAAGTTGAGTTGCCATTTTAAAAAAAAAAATTTCTTAAAGTGCGGTTTGCTTAGTCAAAACCTACAAACTTGAGAAGGGCATAAACCATGGATGGATTCATATTATGAGTGATATCTTTTTATTATTTGTTCTTATATTAATACTAGGTTTAGGCTACTGTATTATCACTATACCCTCGCTCGATATTCTCAAGTAGATAATGGCTTCTCGTTACGATTATTATTATATCTGATTTAATATAACGTTGGGTAGATTGATAGGTCACGAGTGCACGAAAAGCGTTCGGCATGACAAAGCTGTTATATTCTAAACTCAACACGTTAATCCACATTCTAGTTCGTGAATCAATTTCATGATAATACGAGTTCGAGCAGTTTTTAGGATTTAACGGTAGCAGGAAAAGTCATCCCCGTTATAAACGTAAAAATCAATTATATTACGATAATCTATGCTTCAACACAATCTGCCTTGCAATGAATTCTACAGAGTCTACTAAACATTAATTTAAATAATTCTGTTTACACAGCATTATACTATTCATAATTAATCTATCCCTCATAATCCATAACAAGAAGACTAACACTTCCCTCCTAGTTCACTCATGCATTTGTCTGTACAAATTCATCTAATGCTGCTTCCAAAATATCCATTCCTTCTTTCGCTTCCTCTTTCTTCAAAATTAGCGGCGGTACTAGTCTAACGACATTCTTTCCCGCAGTAATTACCAGCAGACCTCGATCGCGAGCTAATTGCAACAACGGAGACGGATCAGCATTTAGTTGTAATCCGAGAATTAAACCTTTTCCTCTGACTTCGGCAGCCATTTTAGGGTATTTCTGAACAAAAGATTCCAAACGAGATTTGATATAGTTGCCAACATCAATGACGTTAGAAAGGAGAGCAGGCGATTTGAGTCGAGAGACGACAGAGATGGCAGCACGGCAGGCAAGAGGGTTACCACCGAAAGTTGTCCCATGGTCACCAATGCCTATTACGTCGGCTATACGGCTAGTGGCCATTATTGCTCCAATTGGAATGCCATTAGCAAGTGGTTTGGCCATTGTTACTATGTCTGGATGACAGGTTTTAGGATAATGTCCGTGGGCCCAAAGTTTACCAGTACGACCGAGACCGCACTAAAGCAATTGTGGGTTGGTGGATATTAGCAGATGTAAATAATGATATTTTAATATAATATAATTAGAGTCGGCAAAAAAGAATCACATCGGGGGGAAGTTCCGTTGTATACCAACCTGGATCTCATCATAAATTAATAGAGCTCCGACTTCATCACATCTGCTCCTCAACGCACTCAAAAATTCAAAACTGGCCTCATAAATACCCCCCTCTCCTTGTACAGGCTCGACAATTACACCACAGGTTCCTTCGTTAATAAACTCTCGAACTTTCTCAACGTCATTAAATGGTGCATAGGTACATCCAGGGACCATTGGGGCGAACGGAGCCTGATATTTTGGCTGTGGTGTAACGGATAAGGCACCCATAGATCGACCATGGAAACTGTTTAAAAACGATACAAGGCCATACTTGTCTTGTCCAGGTTTAGCAACATGTTTACCCCATTTGCGGGCAAATTTAATAGCGCCTTCGTTAGCTTCAGTGCCGGAATTCGAAAAAAATACTTTGGCAGCATCAAATCCTCCGCTTTCTCTTGTCGAGTTTACTAGCAATTCTGCTAGTTCTCCCGATTGTTGATTATGAAATAAATTGCTACTATGTATGAGTTTAAGCGCTTGATCGTATAACACATGAGCTAGCTCTTGATCAGCATGGCCGAGTGCGTTAACCGCTATCCCGGCTGTAAAGTCGAGATATCGTCGATTAGAATTATCATATACGTAACACCCTTTACCAGAGGTGATTATTATTGGTGGGCGTGCATAAGTATTTATGCAGTATTTCTCGTTGCGAGCTAGGATCTCGGCGGTCGTTGCTGTTGCTGTTGCTGTCGCTGTTGCTGTCGCTGTAGCCGTTGCCGTTGTCGTAGCCGTGCTTTGATAACGTGTTTGTGATCTATGCATAACATTACCACTAGCCACCATAGCTCTCTCACTGTTCAATAAACCACAACCAATACACACTCCATAGTTTTTCAAATTCCAACCGGTGCGTGAGGTTACTGTTCGAAGCATTTTAATTCACGAAGGTCTGAGTCATTTATAATTCCCATTTTATATTTACCCAGATCAATTTATTAAGAGATAATCTCATGCATAGAATGACCGATTATCGCTGATGAGATGCTTTGATAATAACTAACAAGATATCTCGTTTTAAAACATGTGAATAGTAATACTAATTAATTAAAGTAAGAACACAACCATTCCCTACAATAGGTCCGAATAATCTATTTCTATTACAAAGAAAATGCTCTCCCCTGTTTTATCTCGGCAAACAAATCGCAGGGGTTGATTACGAAGGACTCTCGTTATGCTGAATTTTATAAACATGTCAGCATTCATTGTAGAAAAATTCGTAAAGTTATTGAAGAAATCAAAAGCATAAACTATGTCAGGGTCAAAGAAATGGGATTGGCGTGTTTTAGCGCTAAGGAAATGATGACGCCTTTTACTTGAACTGATATTTGGTTTTTCAGGAAGAACCAGTTTAGCATCTTCTTCGAGATGATGACGGCCATAATATACCCATGGACCTATGGGTAATAAAGGATTTTCTGTCCTTTCCGACTGTTGAAGACTCACGTTTTCTGGAACTACAGTGTCCTCATTTTGTATGAATCCGTATTGAGAACAGTCCACGTCAACTCTCGTCGTTCCTAGCTTCTCGTCAAGCTCAGCTTGCCAAGCGTTTATTACATTCATTCCGCAAACAAGCCAACTTCCAGCCCAAGGACGTTTCTGCAAAAACATTCCTTCTGCCGTAAAACCAGGATCAATATATCTCGCAAATTTTACGGCAAGCGATGAGCCCGTTGGAGGATTAACGGCATTCTCGGTCTCTGCACAAAATAGGACGTCATCATAACTCCACAAACCGTCGTCACGACGAGTATTTGACGGTTTGAAACGTCCCTGAAACTGGAAAGAAAAGAACCTTCGACGATTCTCAAAGTATGGCGATGTTTTAATAACATCCGGGTCACCCTTACAGTTGTGGTTTTGAAGACGGACTGTTACATAGCCTGTGAAATGAGATGAATTGACGAAAAAAGGCTTCTTATCGTCGTTGACGGCGTACTTTTCGAGGTTGTAATAATCTGGTCCTATTCTAACTGTTGGCATATTTGTGTATTTTCTGGTATAACAATTATAGACGAAGGTGAGTCTCTCAACACCTAGAGCAAATGTGATAAAAGAACGTGTAGGAAAGGATTTAGAAACCAGCTAAAATCCTCGGTTTTTGAACGAAAGGGCTGTCGAACGAGAAAAATGGGTTTCAAAAATCTATTAATACTCGAACCCGCCCAGTGCCACAATGCAGATTTATAAGCGTACACAGTAAGATTTGTCACTCCACGTGATAGCAATACAAAGCTACAAAGCTTGGCTTTGCATATCAGAGTGTTTCAGTTAAGGAAAGCCAAATAAATTTAACAGCCGATCACAACGATCGATGCACGCTCGCAAATGAAATGAAACATGACGACGCCCGAGGGCTGAACCCACAAATTGTTACGTCACATTTATGCATCTTTTGCCTTATTACCCACTTTTAACGTCGTACGGTATATTCCTATATATAGTATTTAACATAATCCCGACCGGAATTACCGTAATGTTGGTCTTCACAATGTAGATTACTCCTTATATAGGAATTATACTGTGCGATATTAAAAGTGTTGGGATAACTTTGACTATAATTAATTGTCGCGGCTGATGCTGAAATCTGAAACCATGATCTTTCATTGGTTGATCATATTCTATTCTCTAACCCCATTGGTTAGTTTCAGCTTCAGCATCAGCTATCAAAGTTTGTGTTTTGTGCGACAAGCATACCCACAGTAATAATCATTTCGCGAAAGTCAAAATAACGTGACAATAGTTCGATTTTCGGTAAACATAATTACGTGTATTATACGTGTAGAATGTGTATCGCTCTTGAAAATATACAAAACGCCAGAGTGATTTAGCATGGGATCAAAATACTCAGATCCAAAATCATAATTATCGCAATTTCTTGGTGTAATTTAAATACACTATTTTTCTTTGCTATCTTTTTTGCACACCATTATTAGCATCAATTTCTTCACCTTTCACATCTTCTTTTAAAATTTTTTGCTGTGGGTTTTGTTACGGCAAGCTGATCTGATGAATCAGACTTTACAGAAACTTGCATTTTTTAAAAAGGTCTCGATGAGAGTTGCAGGACGTTGTGCTGATAACCATGTGACATTTACAATCAGAAAATATTGCAAACATCTCGTCGTGATGTCACCA